CGTGCCTTTCCCTCGGCCCCCTCTGTGTATTTCATCCACACTCTACAGCTCTTACCGCAGTCTTCTTCTACGTCCTTAGGTAGGTCGGATTCAAGGGAACGTTGGAGGCTCCTGTGACTCTGTCTTCCTGATGGCTTTCTCAAGATGCTTGCCCATGACACGGAGGAAGGCTACTGCTTCTTGTGTGTTGGTTTTGTCCCCTTCCACTTTGCCAAACGTGTTTGTCAGTGCTAAAGGTTTCTGGCAGAGTCTCTAGGGTATCATATTCCTATGTATTGAATCATATCATCTGTGCGTAGAGATACTCTGACTCTCCCTTTCATATTTCCATCCCCTACTTTATTTTTTCTTGTCTCATCACTGTGGCTAGGCCCTACAGTAATACATTGAGTAAGAGTGAAAGAGTGAACGCTCGGGCATGATTTTAATAGAAATGCTTCTAATGTCTCCCCATTGGATATAATACTCACTACAGGTTTACCATAGGTAGCCTTTATTATGTTGAGATATGTTTCTTATGTTCCTCGTTTCTTCAGAACTTTTAATGTGAAGGGATGGTGGAGCTTATCAAAAGCCTTTGCAGCTTCTATCAAAATGATCACGTGACTTCTGTCCTTGAGCACATTTATAAAGTCACAACATTTATTGGTTTATCGTGAACTATCCTTGAATCTCAGATCAGGTGACTGATCTTTTTAAGTTCTTGAATTTGATTTGCAAGTATTTTGTTGATAATTCTTTTGTTGTTGTTCTGTTTTGTTTTGTTTTGTTTTATCATGATTCCTGGCTGTCCTGGAACTCGCTCTGTAGACCAGGTTGGCCTCGAACTCGCAGATCTGATTAAAGGCGTGCACCACCACTGCCTGATGGCTCTTTTTAAGATTTTTTTTTACTTTTATTTTGTGCATTGATGTTTGGCCTCCTTGTATGTCTGTGTGAGGGCTCCAGACCCCCTAGAACTGGAGTTACAGACGGTTGTGAGCTGCCATGTGGGGCTGGGAATTGAACCTGAGTCCCCTGGAAGAGCAGCCAGTGCTCTTATCCACTGAGTCATCTCTCCAGCCCTATTTTTGATCGTTTTTATGAACAAATAATAATAATTTTTTCATCAGAGAAACTCGTCCATCATTTTCTTGTTGCGTCTGTATTTGCTCCTTGCTATCAGGGTGACAACAGCTGTGTCCTGTCCAGTGTCTGTTCTTGGCTGGGTTTACAACAGTTTCATCTGATTGAGAAGGCACTGGATCCAGATATCTCGGTGGGAACCTCCAATGGCCGCGCACCGCGCCCCAGTGTCTGCGCTCTGTGCGCTGGCACCCAGTTTGCCAGCTTCAGGCAAGGGGGCTGGAGGTTAAAATACACAGACACACACAGACAGAGAGACAGCGACAAGGGTCATCCTTGAATTCCCCAAGAATGCCCCCTTTATTGTGTTCAGGGGCAGATTATATAGAGATAGCCACGACCCAGCCAAACCCACCAGAAACCACTCTCCTGCCATCAGGAACTCCTGAAGGTCTCGTGCTCAGAGCAACTGTAGGCACTCAGATCAGGGGAAAACAAGAAATTCAGGATCTGGGGTCTCACTGCTCCCAACAATTGTATCCACGAGATGGCTGTTGCTCCCAATGGACAAGTACGGCTATTGATTGCACCCCTGGGGCAACCTTGTCCCATTGTCGTGGTCCTCGATTCTCACAGCTAAATGGGGCTGTTAATGTCCTTTCTTCCCTCAAGAGTTTGAAGAGTTTCTGTAGCACCTTCTGGTAGTATGAACTAGCCTTCTGGCAGAAGGCTTCCCATCAGGATCAGCTTGATTTAGTCCTGTGACCAAAGTGTGTGATGTTGTTAGCCGTAGGGTTTTACCTTCATCTTCTAGCAGGCAACCAAAGACAACGACAGTAGCTAAATTGGCCTTATCTATCTTTTCTCGCGGGCTTTTGTCTGGTCCATCTTGTTGGCTATTAGAACAGTTACGCCTCTTGCCTCCCAGATCCCTGGCTTGGAACACCTTCTCCTATCCTGTCACCAGAGGTCAAATCTGCCTTCTGTGCTTCCAGGCATTCCTTGGATGCACGATGGTTCAGTTTTATCTCCAGTTAAACTATAATTATATCATTCACCCTCCCCATCCTCTCTCCAATTCTTTCCCATGTCTCTCCCACTCCATCTCAAGTTTATACACAAACACACACACACACATATTACACAAACACACGACCCAGTGTGTCCATTGCATATTGCTTGCATGTGTGTTTTTAGGGTTGGCACTAAGTACTGGAGAACCGTTTGGGGGCTCACCCCTGGGGAAGGCTAATTCTTCCTCTTTCAGCGGTCATCAGTTGCCAGTAGCTCCTCATTTAGAGGTGGGACCCCTCTAGATTTCCCCCATCAATGCTGGCCTCCCTGCTCGCGTTGTCTTTGTTAAGGTCTTGTTTTAGAAGGCATACTGTTGAGATTTCGTGGGTTCGGTTTCCCCATCGTGTCTATAAAACACACTCTTGTAGCAGACCTCCTGCCCCCCCCTCCTGTGATGGTCCATGGCATTTAGGTATTGGGTTGTATTATAGATCTAACAATTGTCTACAAGCCTCCAAAGTGAACTGTTCTCTGCATTTTGACCAGTTATGGGTTTATGTGGTGTCTGAAGGGTGACGGCTACACCGATCCATGGGTACAAGGGTAAGGATTTAGAAGGAAGTTAGAGCTCACACTGGTTTAGGAAAAGCCAACACCCGTAGGTTTTCCTCTTGAGCTCATGGTCTCACCAGACACTGAGTTTGCTGGGTTTACAACACCAGACATGAGAATACACAATGGTAACTACCTACATAAGAGAAATAAGAATCTACACCCCGTCAGCATCAGCTCTCAGGTGGACTTGGTACCTTCTTTCCAGCCTTCCTTTCCATTTAAAGCATCTTCCTCGGGCTAGGTCCGTGACGTGGCTAATATGAAAATGAACGTCCTTGGATTCCATGTGATTATTTGATTCCCTTCTACCAACTACAGAATAAAATCTAACTCCTATTTGTACAGCATTCCAAGCCCATCGTCACAGCTTCGTCTCTCACGGTTTATGTCTAGTAACCAACTGCTCACTCGCGCCATACTGCTTCACGACTGGCCTTAGTTACTGACATCGTCCCTCCTCAGGCACGTGCGCCCACGTCTCTGTGTCCTTCCTGCGTGTACTCACCCTTGAAAGCAGCCAGGACAGTGTCCCCTAAGCTCCGTTAGGGAACAGACCCGATTTAGTCACCTTCTGGACCCGGTGTTTCTGAGTGCCTAGGAATGGCAGGCAGTTGATCAGGGTAACGGGTGCTAGCTAAACAGCTTTGCAAACACCGCGATTGGTACCAGCGATCAGCAGAGATCCCAGTTTTCCTACAGAAGAAAGAGCAAAACAAAGGGGACGTGGAATACGGCAATCACAAGTCTCTGTAGAGAGCCAAGTTGGTCACTCTCTCAGTCTACGGTCTGATTCATCTAATTTACCCAGAATTCCCTTCCGTCGACTATGGCCAGCCTTGAACATGGGGGACTATAGAATGGTTTCCCATACAAAACACTTCGGAGTAGGGCGGAAGGAAGAGGCTAAAGAGGGCAATGACCTGCAAAGGAAGCAATCCACATGTGCCCCCTTTGAGGAGTTTCCATGTGTCGACTTTAATGAACTGAAAAATCTCTTCAGCCCAGCTTTCTCCAGGTTCTCCAAAGAGACCGGGGTTTATTTTGTAATAGCGGGAGCGTGGCGCCAAAATTGCTTCCTTCCTATCGCGACTGCCAGTCCTGCCTCCCAAGGTGTGTAACTTAGGACAGGAGACATGAGTATCTATCTTGTTCAGCCTTTGATACCATCCCCATGGCAGAACACTTAACACGAGGGACACTTGGAGAAGGCAAGTCACTTGCCCAAGAGCTTGTCTGTGGTCAGCCTGAGACATAGAATCTGCACACAAGCCGTCTACTGTCGGGGCTGGTGACTGGACAGGACACAGCACGGTAAATACACATCGCCACAACTCCTTCCTTGTAAATTATTCTCGACCTCGGGTACGTGGCAGATTATAAGAATACATGAGTCAGCTTATCCACTTTTGTTTTAAGTGGATCTCGAGACCCATGGAATTGCTGTCATCACCTGTATAAACTCTCTCATTTTAAGCCACCGGTGCAGGGCTGAAGAGTCAGCCCAGACCTGAGAGCACTGACTGCTCCTGAGAGGACCCAGTCGTGGTTCCTGACCTCACATGGCGGTTCAAAACCGCTTGATACCCAGGCTCAGAGGATCTGACCCTCTTCTGCACACCTGCAGGCACCCACATACATGCACATAAATAAATCAAGTAATAAACCAAGAATATTGGATAAATTAATTCCTCATGTAACTATCTCATCTTTGCAATTATGTAAAGATTTTTTTCTTTTTAACTATTTTTTTCTTTTTATAGTGCATGCTAATTGAACAAAATAAAATAAAAAAGAAAACCATGATGACATTTCTATACATGTATGTAATGTACTTTGACCATGATGACATTTCTGTACATGTATGTATTACTTTGACCATGATGATGTTTCTGTACATGTATGTATGTACTTTGACCATGATGATGTTTCTGTACATGTATGTAACACACTTTGACCATGATGACGTTTCTACACATGCATGTATGTACTTTGACCATATTCGCCCCGTTACCATCTTTCTTCCTTAAGTCTTTATGAAAATATCTTAAGTTTTTTTTTATGCTTTTTATCCTTCGTGGTTTAAATCAGCACATTTTTCTAGCAAAAAGAAACTCCATGCAGAAAGGTTTTCAAAAAGTCCACCTTAGGCATCCTGTTTTTTCTTCCTTTCTTTCTCTTTTTTCCTTCTGTTCTGTAGGATTCCAGGGTTCCCTCAAAAAGCTCACTTCCTCTCTGGAACTGATTTTCCTTTCCAACCACACTGAGAATCTGAGAATCAGTCTCTCTCTCTCTCTCTCTCTCTCTCTCCCTTCCTTCCTTTCTCTCTCTCCCACTCCCCCTCCCTCTCTTCCTCTCTTCCTCTCTCTCCCCTCCCTTTGGATCTCTTAGTAGACTCAGGGAAGAGAGAGCGCAAACAAGGACAGAAGAGAGAAAACAGACAGAAGGCATCACTTTGACGGACTATCTTCCATCTGCAGATAACCACACCCGAGTTGTACTTTGCCTTTAATTCCGTTTCTGGACCCCTCTTTTCCAGTCAGCTGGGAGAGACAAAGCCCCGAGCCCTGAGCGGCAGGGCTCTGGTCGGGGGCTGGCTGGCTGGAAATTGACGTGGCATGGGAATTTTCCGCTAAGTTGGAGCAATTTGCGAGCTCCTCGGAGATCGAGCCCAGCGCCCCGGACCTGGAGCCAAACCCTGGGCTCAGTGACTCTACAGAAGAATGGATACAGTCCCCCACTCCTCGCCTTGGACCCGCCGTTTTTTCTGGCTCTCTATCATTTCGCTGAAAATCAAACCAAGCAGTTAAGTCGGGAACTTGGTTTTCGCAGCTTGAACCAGAAAATTGGCTGCTCCGGTTCCCCTGGCTCTTTCTGCAATCTAACCCCTTGCTGCCTTTGCCATGGGGTGCGGACTTAGGAAGCTGGAAGACCCTGATGATAGCAGCCCGGGGAAAATATTTTCTACCCTGAAGAGACCGCAAGTAGAAACAAAGACAGAATTTGCTTATGAATATGCCCTGCTGGACTTGACTTTACAAGGTACTCCTTACTTCTAATGCTATCTGTTTCCAAAATAAGAGAATACTCAGTTTTTGAAGTGTGGACCTGTGGATTCTTAAGCTCTTTTTCGAAATGACATTGTTTGGTCCGTCTAACAATGACGCTTTGTTTCTTAATTATATCTGGAGAGATTTTTGTTTTGTTGTGTGCTTTTTTTTTAAAAAAAAAAAAAAAGTGTCTCGTGTACAAAATTAGGAAAACTGCTTGGAAATGTTCCTTCCTTTTTAAAGCAAATAGGACCAATGCTTGATTTCCAGGCCAAATTGCTGTGGCCTTAATGACAGCTTGTGTTCTGAAAAGATTTGAAAGGCATAGGACTGCAGCTGTGGGCAGTGATACTTGTATGCGTTGTGGAAAACTTGGCTAAGGCAAGTCTGAGGTGGCCAGTGTGTTGAATTTTGTGATTGTGTTACTTTTGTGATACGTTTGACCAAACTAAAGTTGAAAAAAAAAAAAAAAATTTTTTTTGTTGTTGTTGTTTTTTAAGGGAAAAAAGCAGGCTTCTGGAAGCCACTTCCTCAGCTGGCTGCTCCATCCCTAACAGAGAAACTTTGTTCCAAACATAAATAAACAAGCCCAGAAGGCAGCTTGAAGGGGCCCAGGCAGCTCGGCTTCAGGGAAGGCTCTGCTCCCCCCCCCCTTATGAAAACTGCAGGCTGTTAGAGACATGTGTCCTGTAGACACAAGGATGTAACAGTGTTTCAAACAAACTGCATCTTTAATTGTGATGTGCTAAAAAAAAAAAAATGAAATTTAGAGAAACTTGCTTGCCGAGTTTTCTAAAAACTAGTATTAAGTTCTTATAGCAAAGCATAATTTTAATTCTCTCAAGTCATAAATTTCATTAATTCGTAGTGTTTATACTAATTAAATTATCCTACTAGATATTGTATTTTATTCTTCCCCCTCTCCTACCCCCACTCTTTTTTTTCTCTGAAAACAGTGTATCTTTGTGAGGAAGCAAGAGCAGCCCATTTTTCTTTGTCAAAAACTGAGCTGGCCAGCAAGCAGACTACTTCTAGAGAGCCTAAGATCAGTACCTGTGCTCCAAACAAAGTTTGCCTAACTATTTTAATCACAGTAAGGATAAGGCTGTCTGAAGAAGGAGCGGAGATAGCCTAAATGTTCTTCTTTGTTGTGTGAATTTTAAATGGGTTTTGGCACCGCTGATTTGAAAAGTAGCCATGCCTTTAAAAAAAAAAAAAAAGCCATCTGAGAAAAGTCCCTGTGTTGGGGTGCTTCCATAGTGGGGTTCGCTCCGTTGCTTTTCCTTATCAAAGCAGACTGTTTGGGGTAGCAAATGCATAGTGTTGAAAAAAGTGCCCTTAACTATTTGTGAAGCTTAGGCCAGAACCATTTTCATCTGTACTTTAAGATTTTGGCGCACAGGTCACTTCAGGGCTATAGAACTTTCCGGACTTGATTTTTTTTCTGATTCATACCAATCCAAGATATTATCACCTCTAACAAATGCATATAAACGCGATTGCCTTCTCATCGAGAAGACACACACACAGCCTTCACTCAACAGTCAGTTTGGTTTTACTGTTCGCAGAAACCCTTTTCTCCATGAAAGAAAAACAATTCCCACCTTCTGCTCTAGACGCTGCAAAAGCGTAAATTCCGTCGTAAAGCACGAGCAGGGGTTTGCTCTGCGCGCGCACGCTAACGCTAAAGCAGTCTCGCGTCTTCAGCCAGCATCTGCTTCCGATTTGCTGCAGGCGCCTGGTCTCCTGGCCCCTTCTCTTCCCGGTTCTCCCACTTGTTCTTGTTTGGGGGTTTTGTTTGCCCATTTGTTTTGGTCTTGCCTTTGCCTTGGCTGCAGAAGCCAGGACTCTGTGTACCAGCCCGGCTCCGCCCCCTCCTCCCTTCATCTCCCTCTCGTTGACAGCCACCTGCCTGCCACTCCAGCGGCTACGATAGTGAGTCTGGGTGGGCTAACACATGCCAGCCCTCCGCTTGGCACCGACCATCCCTTCCTGGAACTGCTGGAAGAAAAAAGTGAATAGTGCCCGCTCCTGGCTGCCAGACCACCACACAGTGAGAAACCTAGGCAGAAACAAAATGGCCTGGTGACAGCTGTGTGTGTCCACAATGAGCCTGTCTCCTACTTTCCCAAATGGAAGCCGTAGAACAGAGAATAAAGTTTGGGGGTGGGGCGCTTTAAAAATGGCAAGTCCCTACTCTATGTTACAATTTATCTTGAACAATTTATTTATTTCCCATTCGTTCTACCTCCCCATACACACAGTCATTCCATGGCGAAGTCTGCCGTGCGGGAGTTCCCATAGTAGCAGACGTGTTCTAGGAGAATGAAATATTATTTTCATTCCAAGGCTGAAAGTTTCGAGTTGTTCTGCTCAAGGTGAGCTCCCGAGTCTCTTCTCAGTCTTCTCCTCAAACATCTTAGCTGCTGCTGGGGAGATGACTCAGTCCGCAGAGTGATGGCAACCCATGCCAAGGACTGGATCCCACACAAAAGCCAGGTGTGTCCATAGGACTCCCGGCACCAGAGTGGGGGGCAGACAGGCGGACCCCTGGCGAGCACTGTCCCACTGTCCGGCCAGCCTTAACCAACCATAAGCTCCGAATCCAGAGAGAAGCCTGTCTCAAAAAAATAATGTGGAAAGTAATCGTGGGAGACAACCAGTGTCCACCTCTGCTCTCCCTGCGCTCTTAGGCACACTCGAGCTCACACGCGTGTGTGCACACGTACAAACACACGCATACACACACGCACATGCACGCAAACCCAGCCAGGAAACAAATGGCTTAAACTTCCCAGGCTCTTCGCCCTCCAGTTCTCTTTACTCCTCCCCGGGCCTGTTCTCTCGTTCCCTCTGCTGTCCCTGCCCTCTCTTTGGGCTTTTTCTGGTCTTCCACCCCTTACAGCTCAAGGAGGAAAATCGTAATGATTAGGCTTACAAGCCTCGGCTAGTCCCAGTTCCTGGGTCCCCGGTCCTGCTGTAGCTGCCTCCCTGCCTACAAACGGGAATTCTAATGCTGCTGAATCAGGCAGGAGTTTAGACAGCAAAGCAAACAACAGAACACTACCTAAGGGGACCTTGTGGTTCGTAGGGGCTCACCGAAGGCCAGCTGTCGCTGTCCCTCCTATGAGAACACCTCTAGCTCCAAGGCTGGTCCACGGCCCACTTCCCTTCCTTCTTTAAACCCAGCTCTTACTCCTCTTGGCAGTCCCGGCCAGCCGGAAGTGATTGTCTAAAGGGCTTCAAAGGAGGGAGCATGGGCCCAGTTAGTGTCGTGGGCTGAGTTGGGGACAGCCATAAAGAGAAGAACTCAACAAAAGCAAGGAGAGTGGAGCTGGCAGAACGAGAGGCACCAGCCAGCAGAGAGCGCAGGGTTAATACAGGGGACATTCAAGAAGACTAGGAATGGAGTTCTGCAGAGAATGAAAGCCAATAAGGCTTAAGATTTTTACCTGGTCAGAAATAGAGCTTAAAAGGAAGTAGGGAGGCAGGGTGCCGTGCGCCTAGAAACCGAGGTCTTGGAAGGCTGAGATAGGAAGACTGCGAGTCTGAGGGGTAGCCTGAGCTACATAGCAAGCCCTGTCGGAAATAAAGAAAGGGGTGGAAAGGGACAGGGTGAAGAGAAAGAAAAGTCAGGCTACATTTTGTCACCGGGCGACCGGGGCGCGGGCCTTTAATCCCAGCACTCGGGAGGCAGAGGCAGGCAGATCTCTGTGAGTTTGAGGCCAGCCTGGACTACAAGAGTGGGCTCCAAAGCTACAGAGTAAACCCTGTCTCAAAAAAAAAAAAGGAAAAAAGGTCAGGCTATATTTTGTGTAACTGTATCAATCTAATAAATTCTGGGGCACTTCCCCCAACAATCAATGGGTTTTTAGAGGTTAAAGTGCTGCAAGGGGAGAAATTAGTAATAAAATCGGCTGGATCCTCTTAAGGATGAATATAATATCTATTCTTTCTTTTTACTAAGCTATATCGGGTGTTCCATTGTGTTTGAAATGGCATAGGCTACCTGAGAAAAATAACAAATCTCACAAATGCAGAATACTGTGGGAAAGAATTCTGTTCCAAAACTGGGGGGGGGGGGGCATCGCTATTAATAGCACACAGCTGACCCACTTTTAAAGACGTCAAGAGCTGGGAACGTAACTTAATTGGTAGTGTCTGCCTACTATGCATGAGGCTTTGATTCAGTCCCCTGTGCTGCATAAAACCAAGCATGGACCCATAAGTGGAAGCAGGGGGATCCGTGATTCTAAGTCATCCTTGTCTGCGCCGTAGGTCTGTGCTAGGAGACCCTGACTCAGAAACAAACCAAAAACCAGTCAGGGCTAGGAGACAATGCGCACGCATTCCTGCCCGCTCTCTGCGTCTTCTCTGGGGCTTCTTCTTCTACCTGGGTCCTTGCATCAGGTGAGAAGCTGTCTGAAAAGCCTTGTGCTAAACTCTGGGGTACATTCTAGACAAGCCTGGTTCTGTGCACTGGCGCAGACCACAGCTGCAGGAAACGCTCAGCCAGCGTCCACACTATGCCGCAGCCAGCGCTGCAAAGGCTAGGGAGGAAGAGCCCTTGATGGGAGTGGACAGGTCCAGAAAGGCTCTTCAGAAGTACCACCTCGCCTGAGCTATAAAGAATAAGTGAGACTCTGATAAAGGCTTCTGTCCAGAATATGTAAATTACCACCACCAGACAATACAGAGAAGACAGCCCGATAAAAGAATAGGCGAGAATCTGGACATGTTGAGGGATATTTGATCACACTGCGAGCCCCGGGTTTGCATTTGCATCGATTAAATAAAATTAACCGTGGGTCAGGAGGCGGAGTTAGCAGGTAGTTGAGCATCAGAGGGGATCCATGTTGAAATATGAGCGGAGGGGCTGCGTCCCCAACACCCCAGCCGCTTGGCTAGCTCATGCCCGAAATAACAACACACAAACTGTATTCATTTAACTGCTTGGCCCATGAACTCTAGCCCTTACAGGCTAATTCTCAC